CTCCGATTACCCCACCCTACCCTAAAATTCACCATTATTAGATTCAGATTATAATTTGTTTACATATTACTTATAAACTCAACATGGCATTAACGTACTAAATGTAAAGTTTGCAACAAATACCAAACAAAAATAACATTAGTGAATAATTTATGATAAATGATAAAAATCTACAATAAAAATTATTAAGTTAAGATTTAAGACTAAGGAGAGATTTTTGTAACTGACACAGTGAGATAGAATCTAATAACTATAATTTATTATTTATAAATGATTCCGTTAATTAACTTTTTTCTGTATAAAATAATACATATTTTATGTATTTATTTATTTTTTAACAAAAGAGTTTTTGAGAAAAAATAACATTGATATTGATAAATATGTGGTTTTTTTTTTTTATTTGAACAATACTACAAAGCTTGTTCTATTAATGATGTTCTGTTAAAAATAAATCCTGAAGACTACAAAATGTATTCATAACCACTGAGATATTGAATTTAAGCTTGCTTGATGTGATATATCATTCCTTTTTCTAAAATCGAAAAAATTCTTTCATCAACAAACGATGAAATCAAATTTATTACATTTGAGATAAATTAAAAAAATATTTTAGTCAAAGCTAATCAATTGAATTATTGCAATCATTTACTAACACACTTTAAATCTATGTACCCTCGTATGTACCTGAACATTGAAATTTGTGATTAATAATAAGAAAAGCCAAAAACATTCTGAAAAATTGCAGTAAGACTTGAAAAACTATTTTTCGTCAGTAATTATGGATTTTTTTACATTATTTCATGATAGGAGGCTTTACTACAGAAGAATAGGTACTTCTTTGGGTACATTATTTTAGAATAAAATATCATAATCTCTAAAAGGCTAAAAGAATGCTTAAAAAATGTTTATTTAATACAGATCTAACTCACCTGACCTTTTATTTTTGTTATTTAGTAAATTTTATTAACGCATCATTACTTTTTTAGAAAATACCATTTTTTATGTATTCGAAAGAAATTGAATCAATTAAATAAAGCTTACAAAAAAAATAATTCTTGATAAAAAGAAAGACTATATGTGTCCAGAAAGGTAGTTGTTACATATTATGATAATCCCATTAATCTATACTAAAAGCTGTTAGTAGATATTCACAAGATCTACGCTAAGTTGATTTGTTTAAAGCGTATATAGTTTTGCATAACCAAACACATAATCAGAAGTTTAAAGATTTCTAGTTCATAGTATTATAAAACTATTTTTTTTAAACTATGTTTATCACTTTCTTTTACAAGCAAATTCTTATACTTAAATGTAAAAGTTGTATCATTTTCTTAATAAAACAGTTTTGAAACAGAAGAATTCTTAACCAAATCATGTTTATGTTATGACTGATATGTAACATTTAAGAACCCTAATGGGTAATTTATTCGATATTTGTATTATTATAACTTGTATTAATTGATAGGATCATTCATATTAAGGTGGCTTGGACGGTTGGTAGCGTATTTAGGGTAGGGTGCTGTAAGGGCCCCTAAAAAATCAACGCTTTTCGACGGCCAATTTTTCAATAAATATAGTCATTTCGATAAAACCAAAGTACANTTTTTTTTCATAGAGAAACTGATCTGATACTCTGCATCGTATTATATAGTGGTGTAATGGTGACGTGATCATAATGAAGCCGAGTAGCCAGTGGGGGAAAGAGGGAGCGCAACGTCCAACCGCAAGGGAAGAGATATACCCAAAGCAGTAACACAGGGAATAGAGGAGTGTTAATCAGATTGCCGCTGTTGCGCTGCCTCTGCTCATAACTTACAGTGATGAGAGAAGGATTCACGGCTCAAACAGACGAGCACAACGCAGGTTCATGCAAGAGAAAGTGCTATAGACGCAGCAGTGTGGAATTCACTTGCACGAAGGTTCTGTCACAGTGAACAGCAAATAAGCATTGAGTTGAGAGCTTCTTTTTTTTCCCTGCTTTGGTTTAGACTGGTGCAGTTCAATAAAAAAAATTGTAAATTTTTACATACACTGAGGCTACACCGTGAACCGATCAATCAGCCTACGAAGACTATTCTACATGCACGAGATCCCTTAAAGTTAAAGGTACATGGCTAATAAGTTGCCATTTGACCTTTTGACTTGGCAAAGTACAATGATGATATAGTAATTGTCGTCAAACAGTGGAAGTCAGATCGGAGCAGTGCACTCGCTCCTAACCTCAGTTCACTCAACGTTAGTGCTGTCAGCCCCTTAAAGAAATCGTAAGTGTGCTGTACGTTTACGCGTGGACACACACGCGCGCGCGCGCACACACACACAGACAGACATACTTGTTGATATAGACGTACATACACATAAATACATACATACATGTATATCTGGATTAGTATATAAATATACGTAACGTGTCCTGCCTATGCAGCATCCCTGGTTATCCCCTCGGTTATCCCAGTGATGTGTACATAAGTGCTCAGTGAATAAGCAATAAGACATCTGTTGATTTAGCTGTACTTCTACATTGTAGCACCAGTTAAGTGAGCAGAACAGCAGTGCTGTGCGTCTTGAAATATCATTAAGCCCATCAGCGAGAACAAAAACAGCCAAGATAAACAATTAAGCAATTTAAAACATACGATTATGTCAACAGCAGTTATGAGCAGTAGCCAAATCATGTTCGATTATTTTAAGGTAAGTTTTCTTGTACTTTTATTGATTTTTTCATTGGTTCTGTGAATGCTCTCGCTCCTGGCCCATACTACAACATCCCGTTCTCTTTCTGCTTTCACTTTTCTTGCACACGCGAGGAGCTTGCGTAATCGACGGACACTACTGCTACCGCTTTCTCTTTCCTCAACGTACGGACGCCGGTTGGCAAACACACCCGTTGTCCGAGATTTTTCGCTGAGCGAGTACCTAAGATGGCTGCGAAGCTGCATTGGTTAAGCACGTGCTCGTTTGCTCAGGCAGCCAAAACAAAGTAGAAAGAAAGAGAAAGCGGGAAGATCACTTCCATCTTAACCTCGACTACTCATCAATCCTCATTTTCCGCTTACTTTTACTCTCGTTGCTGCCCCCACTCACTATGTCTCCTGTTGACGCTTTCTCGCTAGAAAGGGAAGGGAATTTTTTGAGGTGAATCTCGATCTACGACTCCATTACATTTAATAAAGTACTAACCTACACAAAAATATTTGCACTGAAAGTTACAGGGTATATGTCAAATATAATCCAACGGCACTTATACCAATTATAACGTACTTCAAAACATTAAGAAATATACTTAAAACAGGGTATGGGATAAATGATGAGCGAAAAGCATAAATGGTTTTTTCCTACTTTGAAATTTTTTTTAACCTTTGGACGTTTACTGTACCCTTAGTAGAAAAAAAAGAGCTGGCATCTGGTGCGCATCCAACTAAGAAAATCACAATTAAGAGGCCTAGTGCTTACGCTTCAGACATGCACCATCAGGTACAAAATCTACTATATCAGTTCGTTAAAACTATATGTTGAAAATTTTGAAAAATAATACGTTTAATAGCATGTATATTATCAAAGTCCAAAAAATATTTCATCCATATCCCTACGAGGTATTAGTTCATAGTCGATTTAAGAAAGTTCACTCGTACCCAACCTTTTTGACCCACAAGATCAGATTTGTTGTAACGTGTATGACTATATATACAGATATAACGTGACGTACTAACAGTAGCTGTCCAGGGAGAATTATTTTATTCGCTCATTTATGGCTCATTCCATAAGCCATAAATGTAGATGAGACTATAGTAACGTAATCACCAAGTTTTTAGCTATTTTCAAAAAAATTTCGAATCAAATCTTAAAGTCGATTATCTAGATATTGCAGGTTATGTATCAGAACAGTACTGATTCTCATAAGACTGCACGTTAAAAGTTCAAAAGTAAAATTATCAATATCTCACTTTATAAGCTATACAGTGACTTGAAATTTTAATCAAAGGTTTTTCATACACTAATTCATCTATGTTTGACGTATTATCAATATATTGACGTTAATTCTCTTAGCGAGTAAACTTCCTTAAACTGCTTCTAAAAATTCGATATGTTAAGAACTATCTCATCATTCAAAACTATGAACAAATAGTATTGTGAAATGTTGTAAGTTTAGTTGGTATATGTAGGTCAATATATATTTAGGTAGTGCATGTTTCATGTTATCCAAATAAAGAACCTTGCTAGGCACACCTAAGTTTATAAGTCATAATGTTAAAGTAGTAATATGTGAAATGAGAGAAAAATAATATCACCATGAAATTTACCTTTTAACAAAAAAAAGTAAGATAAGTTTAGGGTACGTTGAACATTTTTGAAAATTTTCTGAGGCCCTTACACAGTGTTAATAACTTTTCTTCTTCCAACTACGTCAGCAGCCTCACAACGTTGTCAAATTTGAATCTAGAGAAGTTAAAAATTTTTTTTTTCTTTAGCACGGCATACTTATTCACATGATCCTCAAACTATTACACTGTCTGAAAATCATACATAATTAAAGTGAAAATACACTGAGAAAAGTAGTGTTAAAAAAAGTATTACAACTGTACTAAAAATTACTATATTTTTAGGAAAGCTGAGCTATACTCACATGAAGACGCAGAATTATGACGTTTAAAATAATTTTTATTGTATTTTAAATAATTTTTATTATGCAGTAGCCCTACAAAAAATNAGGTGTGTGATTCTCTCCCAAAAAATTGAAGTTTACAGCAAAAAGCGACTTGCTTTCAATGGTATTTTTATTAATAAACATGGCAAAATCACACAAGAAACAATTTATTGAATTAAAAAAAACCTCAATTTTTCGATAAATGCAAAGAAAATTAATTTTGAATGTTTTTTCTTTTTTAAATATTGATGCCAGTATTTGGTACAATATTTGTCACTACTGTTGAATTACTGGCAGTGATTCGGTAAGGTACAGCAATATAACCTAACAAAATCATCAACCACTAAAGCCTCTTGCTCAGTATTTGACTTGGCCTTCTGAAAATATTTTTCAATCAGTAATCAAAAAGAAGAGTATAACTAAAACTCCATTAGTTATATCAGATCCTCTGTGGCAAAAAATCAGTAAAGAAAAAAAAAATAAAGTTGTTAAATTGGAAA